TTTTTAAATCTTACCAAAATCTGGATGGAAGGAGAAAGGAAAACCAGAAGAATCAACCAGTCTTGGTCCTTATGGTTAAAAGAGAAGACTGGGTATTCCGATGACCACGCGAGGAAGCTACGTGCTCTTGCAAAGGCCCTTTATGGATATGATCAATTTCTTTTTGTGGGATTACCCCTAAATTACATTTTGAGAAAACTCAAAGAAATATCTATCATGTTACAAATTCCAGAATACAATGAATTCTGGAAAACGCCTGCGGACGTGCCACCCACTAATGATCTTCAATCATCGCAAGACGCTGCCACTATCATACAACCACAGTGACTATTTGTCAATGCTATATTTAGTAAACGGTTATGCATAACCGGGTGTATTTAAAGTTTGTATTTCTCAATGATATATTTAGAAACGGTTATGCATAACCGGGTGTATTTAAAGTTTGTATTTAAATGCGTTTTAAAAGTTTGTGTATGTATTTATATTTTACTCATTGTTAGAAAATAATAAAAAAAATAATAAAATGTCTGGTTAACTTTTATATTTCGGCGGTGGATCATTAATTATAGTAACTTTAGTGAATAAAATTATACATTTCCCATTTTTTTAACTCGTTCAAAGCCTGTGCTTTTCCCTCTTCAATAAGTTTTTTTCTTTCTGTCTCACTCAATCCTGTTTGTTTTGAACGAATACTATCTTTTAGTTTATTATATTTATCTTATTCATCTAAAACTAATTTAAATTCATTTTCGGATATTTTTCCGTCTGTTAAAGCTTTTGAAATTAAATCTTTTATACTATTTAATTTACTATCAGCAATAGTTTTAATCTTATCATGCTTCTTTGCTTTTGAATGCAGTCTCCTTCTAATAAACTTTACACATACCCCCGCTACACCACAAACTGCTGCCACAATTTCTAATGGCAACATAAACGGTTCTACGATTCCAATACCACCCATAACCACACTCCCAGAAATGAGAGTTGTATCAACACCATCAGTAATATTAATTCCGCGTTTATATTTCTTGTATAATGATTTACGAGTATCCCTCTCATTAATTAATGTTTTCTCAATCTCTGATATCTTCTGTAATCTATAATTTTGACCATCTTCTACTGGTAATTCTGGATATAAAGGATCCGGGGCTGTTGGTTGCTTCATTTTTAAAGGGAATTTTTTGAATACAATTTAAAAGAAATCATTCCCAAGAATAAGTAAATCTAATGTAACTACCTTTTTCAATAGTAAATAATTGGTCAGTAACCGAGACTGGAATAATTGCAATTGATGTATTCTTTAAAAACTGTTGCTTTATAACGTCTTCAAACACATCTGCATCCGTTGATCTTTTTAAAAGTACTTCATGAGTCCTGTCTTCGTTTTCAGATCTGTAATTTTCCTGCCATATCAATAAAAAGTCGCTTTTACCCTTTATTATAAGTTTTATATTAATGTAGTATGTTCCATCTTTTTTAGTTGTAAAACCACTCACGTTTCTAAAGTCACCTATATTCAATTCACGTTCCTCTTCTATATAATCATTATAATTTACAACAGGTGAATAATGAGAATTAAAAAACTCAAATAGGTTATGAGTTTTAATATAACGATTATTTTTACCGATTTCGTAAGTAGTAGGTAAAACTTTAACATCTAGAGTAAAATCATTCCACATATTGAATAAAGGAACATGATATATTTTGTTATAAATAATATCAGAAATCTCCTTTTTTACTACTGAGAGGTCCGAGGTTGTATCAAGTATAATTTTACCTAAGTCATCAGCTCGTTTATTTTGCACCTTTTCGAGAGCTTCTATTTTACTTTTCAGAATCGTAACTGACTTTTTAACATCCACATCAAGTCTGGTAATTTCTTTCTGCAGATTATCAGTAAGCAAATCTTTCATTTGATTTAATTTAACTTTTAAATTATTAATTTCTCCATCTTGGGCATCGCTTCTTTGTGAAGCAGATTGTTCTAGTTGTTCTTTGAATTCATCAAACTTTTCAGAAAATGTATTAAACAATTCCGTTGAGTCATCTTTTAACGTTTTTATTTCTTCTTTTATTTCTAACTTATACATATTTTGTAGCTTTTTCTCAACTTCAGCAAGTTTGTTCTTAAGTTCGTTGTGTTTAATCATGCTATTCTTTATTTTATCAATTCGGTCTGCGATTAAAAGAATGTTTGTCCTCAATGCAACTTTTATTTCATCATCTGTTTTACTAAGTGATTCTGATAAGATTGCCATTTCTTTCTGGAGTTGACCGTGCAGTGTAATTATTGCTTCTTCATTATTTTTAATGCTTTCAGAAAGTTGATCAATGTCTGACTTTTCGGTTTGAAGTAAGTCTTTAATGTTTTTTATATCTTCCAATTCATAGTCGTCTATTACACTTTTAATTCTCCTAAAAACAAATCTTTTGCTAACAGCATCACTTGGTTTTTCTGGATTTCCTATGTTGATAATAGAGTTACCGTTCATATCTAATGGTATATTCATTTTATTACCAAGTTCAGAGTTGTTTCTTTTATGTTTTTTGATTCCAAAGATACTCATTTTTATATTCTAAAAATCAGTATTCTGTAATTCTTGTTCATAAAAACTACCTTTAATTTCTTCATCTTTTAAATCTTTTATTTTATAAGTAACAGGATCTGTATTTAAAACTTCTTCAATTACAAATATTTCTCTTCTCCAACGGGTAGTATAACCTTTTTCAAATTTACCTTTCATTTTTGCAATTCTTACTCTATCTCCAACTTTGAATTTAGGTTTTTTAATTTCTTCTTCTTTTTCCGGATATAAATGTTCATACACTGTTGATTCATTCTCTTTTTTACTTGCTTCAACAGGTGTCATTTTAATTGAAGAATGAACTGTATTGTTATAATCTTTAACTAAATCATCTAATACATCATAATATTTATTAGTTTCGTGAGCAGTAAAATATTTAAACATACGTTGTTTCATTGTTCCTATCCAGCGTTCTACTACACTAGATTTTTCTTCATTTTCAGTTGAATATAACTTTATGTTATTCTCTTTTAACAATTCTTTTACTTGCCGGTTATAAAATTCAGAACCTTTATCTGACCAAATATACATTGGTTTTCTTTCTTCAAATAATGTTTTAAATGCTTCACTTACCGTTACTCCTGTTTTATTTTTTAAAGGAATTAACCAACCGTATTTACTAAAAACATCTATAACTGCTAATAAATATTTATAGTGTTTATTTTGTTTAGAATATTGTTGCATATCTGCCAAATCAACTGCCCATGTCTGATCTACTGAATGAACATAAACGCGGTTTTTGGGAAATCTTTTTATAACTCTATGATGTAATTCATCTGCTAATTTATTTGTTAAACCAGCTATAAATCTACTTTTTTTAGATCCGCATTCAGAACATTTAGCTTTTAGCATTTGTCTATAATTAGTTGTTGTTACTTGCTCTACTGAATCATTTTCAGTATGTTTATTGCAACGTAAACAATATATTTTCGGATGCTCCATTTTTAATATATAAAATTGATTTCGTAAAAAATGACAGAAGGAAAAATCTGTACAAAATGTAATGAAAACAAATTACTAAGTGAATATCATAAAGCAAAAGAAAAAACAATGGGAGTTAAATCTGCATGTATACAATGTAATAAACCAAAACAAAGATTACATTATCAAAATAATAAAGAAAAATATAAAAAATCTTTTCAAGAATTTATGATTAGAAATCCTAATTATTATCATGAATATTACGATAAAAAATTTATAAAAATTTATAGTTAATTCAAATTATATATATTAAAAATGAGAACACAAAAATCCAAAACATTTAAAGATATTATTACTGAAACTATTATTGATGATATAGACGAAGAGGATATAACTAAATATATAAACTTATTAAAAGATAAAATAGTTATTAATCAATTTCCTTCTAAAATAAAAATAATAATAACGAGTGAATTTTCAACTCCTATGGCATTTGATATAATAGAAAGTCATTACTCTCATCCTGCTCAAGTTATCCTAACACAAAATAATATATCTAAATTCTATAAAAGTTTAATAAATAAATTTGAAGCTTGGATAGATGAATTTCAAGAAAGAGGATCTGGTTTTGTTTTCAGAAATATTTAAAGTGTAATAGTAAAACAATATAAATATGATTATCAGAAAGCTTCATCTTATATTCCTCTTCAATTTAAATCAGTTAATATTATCAATGTTCAAAACAAAAATGATAATAAATGTTTTCTTTAATCTATATTATAAGTTATATCCTGCTTCTAGAGATAAACAAAGAGTAACTAAATATAAAGAATATGAAAATGAAATTAACATGAAAGGGATTGAATATCCTGTATCAATAAAAGATATCTCAAAAGTAGAGAAACAAAATAATCTAAGTATCAACGTATTTGCGTAAGAAAACCAAACAGATAAACAATCTTTATATCCGGTTTATGTTTCAAACATAGAAAGTGAAAATGTAGTTGATCTCTTATACATTGAAAGTAATGAAAATACTCATTATTGTTTAATTAAAGATTTAGATAGTTTCATGTGTGATAAGAATAAGAATAAATCATTTACATGTAGAATTTGTTTACAAGGATTTCAAAGAGAAAAAGCACTAATAAGACATAAAGAAATATGTTATGATAATAAACCTTGCACAACCATAATGCCAAAACCAGGACAAAATATTCTTAAATTTACAAATTATCATTTTAAAATAAATTACCATTTGTTATATATTCTGATTTTGAATCAAACAATATTCCTATAAAGTCATCTCAACCAAATCCTAATGAATCTTATATAAACCCGATAAGTAAACAAGAAATAAATAGTTATGGAATATATGTTAAATCTGATTATCCAGAAATCTATAAATCAGAATACATTTCTTATGTTGGAAACAATGCAAAAGAAAAATATGTTGAAAAGATAGTTAAAATTTTTAAAAAGATTACTTATCAGATGTATCTAAATGAAAAGAAAAAACCATGTTTAAGTAAACAAGAAGAAGATGAATTTCAAGAAGCAACTGAATGTTATATTTGTAAAAAAGAATTTGAAGATAATTGTAAAATAAGGGAACATAATCATCTTTCAGGAAAATATAGAGGAGCAGCGTGTCAATCTTGTAATACAAAAGAAGGTAAAGCAACAAAATTAATACCCGTGTTCTTTCATAATGGATCAAATTACGATTTTCACTTTTTAGTTGAAGAATTGATGAAGTATGAAGATGACTATAATAAAGTAAAACTTCTTTCTAAAAACTCAGAAGAATATATTTCAATAGATTACGGAACAAGATTTAAGAAACTAAGATTCCTTGATTCATACAGATTTATGTTAAAAGGCTTATCAGATATTGCTAAATCAATGGATGAGTTTCCTATTTTAGAAAAAGAGTTTACAACTTATGATATTTCTTTATTAAAACAAAAAGGATTCTATCCGTACGAATATATTGATTCTATTGAAAGATTAAAAGATGATAAATTGCCAGATATTAAAGAATTTTATTCAACATTAACCCAAAAAACAATTACAGAAAAAGAGTATAAACATGCACAAAAAGTATGGGAATATTATAATTATAAAATTTTACAAGATTACCATGAACTATATCTTAAAACAGACGTTCTTATTTTAGCAGATGCATTTGAAAAGTTTAGAAAATTCTTTTTAAAACATCATGAGATCGATCCTTGTTATTGTTATTCTGCTCCCGGTTTAACATGGCAATGTGGTTTAAAGTATACAGCTATTGAATTAGAATTATTGACTAATTATGATATGTTACAAATGTTCGAGAAAGGAACCAGAGGAGGATTTTCTGGTGTTCTGGGACCAAGACACGTAAAAGCTTTTAATAAGTATACTACTAACTACGATGAAGGAAATAGAATATTAGATGAAAATGAAATGAAAGAATGTTTAGAAATATTAAAGAATGGAGGAAACTTAAACGATTTTCTAGAAGAAAAATATTTATTATACCTAGATGCTAATAATTTATACGGTTGGGCAATGTCAAAACCTTTACCTACAAGAGATTTTAAATGGGAAGAAAATCAGGAATATTATAAGAATATTCCAGAAGGTAGAGGATGTATCATTGAATGTGATTTAGAATATACAAATAAATGCAAAAAGAAAACATTTAGATATCCTCTAGCACCCGAAAAAATTAAAGTAAATAAAGAAGAATTATCTGATTATCAATTAAATTTATTAGGAGATAAACCATTAGGTAAAGAAAAAAAACTATTCTTAACATTATATGATAAAAAGAAATATATTGTTCATAATAGTATTTTAAAGGAATATATTAAACTCGGTATGAAAGTAACAAAAGTATATAGAACTATTTCCTTTGAAGAAAGTAAATGGTTAAAAAAATATATTGATTTTAATACCGAACAAAGAAAGGATGGAAAATCAGATTTTGAAAAAGACTTATGGAAGTTAATGAACAATAGTTTCTACGGAAAGACATTAGAAAATATTAGAGGAAGAAGTGAAATTATATTATCTAACAATAAAGACGAAGTAAAAAAATATATAAACAAACCAAATTTTAAAGATTCAGTAATATTTAACGATAACTTTGTTGCAATAATAAATAATGTTACTTCCGTTAAATTTAATAAACCTATTTATTTAGGACAAGCTGTATTAGATTACTCAAAACAATTAATGTATAACTTTTATTATAATGTTGTTAATAAATTATGGGAAAAGAATGAATTAGTTGCCTCAGATACGGATTCTATATTCTTAAGTATTAAAACTAAAGATATTTATAAAGATATGGAAAAAATAAAAGATGAATTAGATACATCGGGTTATCCTAAAGATCATCCTTTATATTCAGAAGATAATAAAAAAGTAATTGGTAAATTTAAAGATGAACTTAATGGGAAAAATATGAATGAAATAGTTTTCCTGAGAAGTAAAGCATATTCTTTCACGTTAACAGATTTAAGTAATCAAAAAGTAGAAGAAGAAAAAAAATTAAAAGGAATTGGAAAAACAACAATAAAGAAAGATATTAAATTTGATGATTATAAAGATTGTCTGTTTAATAATAAAACTAAAATGAATAAAATGTATACATTAAACTCTGATAAACATGAAATGTATGTTAATGAAATAAATAAAATAAGTATGTCACCATTTGATGATAAAAGATATATAAATGATAATGGAATAGATACTTTACCGTATGGTTATTTTACTTAATTTTATATGCAAGAAAACCAGTTAATGCCATACCACCAACAATAAATGCAATCTCTCTATTTTTCTGGTCTTCTGACGGAGTGTAAAAATCACTTAATACGGGTTTAGGAGGTAAAGCAGGTAATTGTTTTCCAGTAATATAATAATATTCTTTCATTTCTGTATCAGCATTATCAAATTCTTCCGTAGCATGGCGTTCCTTTTTCATTTGTTCATTAATAAAATCTAATCTTTCTGTTCTCTTTTCATTCCATGCAGTTGTTTCTTCTTGTAATTTTTCCATCGCTTTATCGTGTCTTTTTCTCTCTATATCACTATTTTTACCCATATGTGAAAACAAATAATTACTACCCGAAAAGGCTAACGCATTAACCGCTGCACCACCAATCATCATTATTACTGCACTCGCCATTTTTAATAGTTAAAATAAAATATAAAAAAAGTTTACTTCATAATATCTGCTGGTATAATACCCTGCTTAACCAACATATCTTTAGTTGCCATTGCGAGTAATATATCGATAGTTAACATTCCAACATCTCCCATATTAAAATCTACTTTTGGTGCTGGTCTTTTTAATAGTTTTCTACCTAGTTCTGAATATCCAATTGTTAGTGCAGTTTCCACTCCAGCATGATATAACATGTTCGCTATTTGTTTTCCGTCAATTTGTGTCGCCATTTTTATATATTAAATTTAAACAATTTTTTTACCAACTACCTATACTATTTTCTTTTGACTCAATTTCTTTTTTTTGTAGAACAGGTTGCTGTTGTATCACAGGTTGCTGTTTTATAATAGGTTTAACTTGTTTAGACTTATAAATATATAATCCCAATCCGGCAACTCCAATTAAACACAAAGGTATATAATTTTTGTATATATTTAAACTTGGAAATTCTTTAACTTCATCATCATCATCATCTTTTGTTATAGATTTTAATTTTATGTTTTCTTTCTTTATTTCTTCATTTTCTTTTTTATTTAATTCAGCTTTCATTTTTTTTGCTTCTGCACCTTTCTTACCAGCAGATACTCTTTTTGGGTTTTTCGTTTTTTCTTTAGTTTTTTCTTTTTCATCCGGCATAATAATTTCAACTTTTTCACTCGTCATTTTTTATAGTAATATTTTCTAATTCATTATCTGTAGATTTATTAAAATCAATATGTTTTGCTGTTGTTAACATAGCAGTAAAAGGAGCAAGATACATTCCGTATCTATAATAAAGTTTACAACATGAACTATTCAGAGCATTATTTACAAATGGATCTTCTTCTAAATCTTGTATTAATTTTGGGGGATCCACAACATTAAAATATTTTGATACACCCATAACATATAAATTAATAAAAGAGTTTCCCAATGTCTTAGTCATACTTGCTCCTAATCTAGCTTCATATCTGCAGTATAGTTTATTTATTTGTTCTGGTGTCATTGTATCAATGTCTGACATTTGGTATTCTTTTCCAAGATATTGTTTACTTCCTCCGCCAGCAACAATTGATGCTAATCTATCAAGTTTCATTCCATCTAATTCATTATTTTCATCACATGTAATGTTTTCTTTGAGTATTTTTTCAGCATCCATTTTTATTTGTATATTTTTAAATATTTTTTTTATTTTATAATAATTAAATACGCAATATCCAACTACTGATAAGACTGCAGTGTTTGTTATAATTGTTAGTATTTGAAGTATTTCAGGTATCATTTTTTTTATTCTATTTTAAGTAATATTAAAAATCTTAAGCATTACTATAGCATTACTATAGCATTACTTAAGCATTACTTAAGCATTACTTAAGCAAAAATTTATTCTTTATTTTATATAATTTAAGCATTGCTAAAGCATTGCTAAAGCATTACTAAAGCATTACTAAAGCATTACTATAGCATTAATTAAATAAAAAATAACTTAATCAACTACCCAATAATTAGTAGGTTGGTCAGTTTTCAAAATTAATTTACGATGCTTCTCCTTTTTTAGTTCTTCCTTTATTCTTTGCCTTTCTTCCAATGTAGGAATGACATCATTTTCTCGTAGACAATTTTCAAAGCTATCTCTGTCTTTTGTGTAAAACATACATAACCATTTTGTTTGTTCTCTTAAATCTTTTAAAACTGAATTGTATCTTTGTGATATAACCCATACTGATTGTTCTGCGTGTCTTCCTGAGAAAGCCATTTCCGAAAGCATATCTTTTTTCTTCGTTAATTCTTTTGTAGCACTGCAATCATCAATGATGTATAAAGAAGGAGAACCAGCGTACTTTTTGAAGAATATTCTTAATAGTTCTTGTAATTTCTCTTCACCTTTAACAATTGGATTTACGAATATAAGATTCTTTGTTTTTGGATTTTTGACATCACCAATCCACTTACGATTTTTGTATGCTTTGTTCCATTGAATGGTTGGACAAAGTATAACAATATGATTAAATACACGATTATATTTACCTTCAAGTAAGTCTAAAACGAATTCAGTCTTTCCACAACCAGTTTGACCGCAAATAATTGCACAGTGTGGATATTTTGGTAATTCCATTTTAATAATAAAAAAATAAAATAATCTACTTACTCGCTTAATAACTAATTTCTTTAAATCTACCATCTTCAAAATTAATTTGTGCATCTTGTATAATATATAAATAAACATTTATAGGTTCATCCGCTCCTGCTTCTTTCTCGATTTGTATTGTAATACCTTCTGATGCATTTTCAATTCTTCTTCCCGAACCGTGTAGTGAGTTGTCATCCGTGGAACGTAAATCTAACCATAATGCATAATTGTTTGTTAGATATTTTTCTAATGTTGTACTAGTGAAACATAAATCTTTTACAATCTTATTTGTTTCTTTATTTCGTTTTGAATTTAAAGCAAAGAATTTATTTATCTCATCCCACTGTTGATAAGATTTCATTCCTTGACTGTATAGTTGATTTGGGACTCCTTCTATTGTCATTCCTACTTTTGTTATATTCGGATTGTAATAAGTTTCAGTTGATGTTCTATCTGGGTCTTCGATTAACATTAGAGCACCTTTCATACTTTTTGCTGGAACATTTAGATTAATATTCCAAAGCGTATCAGATTTATTTTTAGTTATTTTTCTGTGTCTTAGTATTCTGTCATATAAAATAACCATTTTACCATCTACCTGTTGTCTTATTTGTCTTGCAAGTTCTGGGTCAGACACCATATCGAATTCCAAACATATGTTTTTGATTGTATAACTTGAAGTAGCATCTGTTGATTTAATTACTTTTTCATAATCATTAAAAGTAAGTTCATATTCGAGTCTATCACCGAGACCAGCTTGGTAGAATGGCATATGCGTTTCTAATAGTTCAAAATCAAGTGGGATGCAAAATCTGTTCTTGTATGCTTTTGCTACAGCCTCGTCTTCTTTGTCTGATGAAGCATCTGCAGCACCAATCCTGTGTTTCAACATATTATCTTTACCGATACCTTGATAGGCCATATTTACACGTTCAGGGGGAGACTTCCATAAATCGATATAACAATGGTAAATATCGCTATCATCAATAGACATAACTTCATTTCCACTTATTCTAATTGTTGTTTTCTTAATTATTGCTCTTCCTATGTTTTGATATACTGTTGCATTTACATCTTTAGAGTTTAGTTCAATTTCAAATGCTAATCTGACTGATCCGGGAACAATAACATCATTGCTACTTAGATTAGGAAATCTCACTAACAATTGTTGATTTTGGTCAATAGTTGAAGGATTATTGGTTATAACAACACTTTGACGAATTCCTCTTATACCACGTGGTTCTCTTAATTTTCTGTAAGGGTTTAATGTTTCTCCAAAAGCCGACATCTTTAAAGGGAAATTTTTAAGGATATTTTTTAAGTAATAAAAATGGCTGAAGGCGGATTTGAATTTGATAATTCTGCGTTTGATAAAGATGACTATGATGATAAAGATGATGAACAGGATTTAGATGAAACATCTTTTACGGATGAAGAACAGTTTCAAAGAACATAAAATATTCAATATACTAGTTTAAAAGATTTATCAGGTGATGATAAGATATCTATGAAAAAGAAAATAACACAACAAATGACAAATAGATTTTATGAAAGGAATGAAGAATCTGTACATAATATAGATTCCATTGTCAAAAATGACAGATTAGGGAGACCAATGTTATATGTCGAAGGAGATAAAGAATATGCATTAACATATTATAAATCTAACAACCCTGATGAAATAGTAACATTTTTATCATTTAATACTCTTCAAAGGAAATATGGTGTTGGATTTGTTAGGGATGTTTTAGGTGTAAATGATTTTCAACCATCTGTTACAAGAATTAAGCAAGGTAGAAAAGATTTAATTCAATTAATTGAGTTAAGAAACAAAATTGGAACAGAGAATATTCCTTTGCAAGACATTTCTTCACCA